AAAGTATCTAGATATGTCATTAAACATTTTCCTCCGCGATGACAGGCATTTAACGGTGCAATTAATATCTAATCTTTTTCCCCCCTAAACACGGATTTGTATAGTAAGATCCGTTACTATTCATATTATTGTTCAAAATGCTTTCAGTCACACAATATATAACACGTCCTTATATGAGTAGTCAGATTTTCAAAAGACATATGAATGAATTGAGAAGAAGAACCATTTAAAATGTATCATATTTGTTTCCTTTTAGTTTGTTTGATTTGTTGTAACAAGTCCAGTTAGGTCTCCATTTCATTTTCGAATGAAAATATTTTGTTAAATGCTTTTTCATTCATGTAACAAATATTTTTGTGATTTCTAAAATATCTTTACTTTGTTTTAACATAAACAAGGGGCCTCGAGGCCGAGTGGTCTAAATAGTCGAACTACTGCATAATAAGCCTGTCAACACTGCGGTTGTTAGTTCGAATGGCAGGTGCGCTCGACTCCAATCTTAATTGACCAAGGGCGTGTTTTATTGGTCTATTCTGTACATTTCCAGAATGTCTTCTGATGAAGAGTATAAACAAATGAATCTAGACCTTTTCTGGAGATATTCTGTTGAAGAAGCAATAAAACACAAATTCAATTTGCCATCAAGTATAGCAGAATATTTTATGTTGGATTACATAAATGAAGTTTACGATGATTTATTAGAAAATTTAGTTACGTCAGTTCATTCCTGTAATAGTGTGCTATGTTTTGGAAGTGTAAAAACAAAGAAAATTGTGTGGAAGAAATCGCTGTGTTCGCGACATTTTTTCTATATGCTTTACTAACTAAATTTAGCTAAAAGAATTCGACTGAAAGCTCCGACCATTTGATTTTCAGAAATAATCTTAAACTGCACAAGAATTTGTCAATGTTTGTCTAGTATATGAACGAAAATGACATCTTGTCTATCTTTTAAAATAACCAAACTGGATTATCTTTGTATATAAAAGAGTTCTCAACATCTTGTTTTTCCTGGTGGTCCTTGAAAAAAATCTGCTGGTTCTAACTATTATTTCTTTTGCAAAATACCAAAATTGTGCCGATCCTTGATAACTCGAATAATTTTGTGCCCTCTAGCGGCCTATAGTTAATGTAGCAATCGGAGATTAGTCGAAGATCGACGGAATATAACGACTGACATTATTCAGATTAGGTCCTTGCAAAATTTCGGCTGTCAAAACATTCGGACTACCACTTTTCGAGAACCTTAATTGAATATGTATACAGACTGTTTATGACTAAATCCGTTGGTTGTGTACTGATTGATACTTGAGTCAGGGAGAACATGATTTATTTGTTAACTGTAATTGGATTCCTATATCTATTTGAACAAGATTTCAGAAACTACAAAAAATCTTATTTCGATGTTTTGTGTCTATTGTCTTAATGTTAACTGTTTTCGTGTCTCGTACCAATCTTTTTAAGGTCACCCAATTGTACCTGATTTTTACAGTTTATTCTTTAGTTGTACTGTTACATCGCTGTCCCAGTTTAGGGGAGGGTTGAGAACTCACAAACATGGTTAACACTGTCATATGCTTTATGTGCCTGTCCCAAGTCAGTAGCCTGTAGTTCAGTGGTTGCCGTTGGTTCATGTCTTTATGTGCCTGTCCCAAGTCAGTTGCCTGTAGTTCAGTGGTTGCCGTTGGTTCATGTCTTTATGTGCCTGTCCCAAGTCAGGAGCCTGTAGTTCAGTGGTTGCCGTTGGTTCATGTCTTTATGTGCCTGTCCTAAGTCAGGAGCCTGTAGTTCAGTGGTTGCCGTTGGTTCATGTCTGTATGTGCCTGTCCCAAGTCAGTAGCCTGTAGTTCAGTGGTTGCCGTTGGTTCATGTCTTTATGTGCCTGTCCTAAGTCAGGAGCCTGTAGTTCAGTGGTTGCCGTTGGTTCATGTCTTTATGTGCCTGTCCTAAGTCAGGAGCCTGTAGTTCAGTGGTTGCCGTTGGTTCATGTCTTTATGTGCCTATCCCAAGTCAGGAGCCTGTAGTTCAGTGGTTGCCGTTGGTTCATGTCTTTATGTGCCTGTCCTAAGTCAGGAGCCTGTAGTTCAGTGGTTGCCGTTGGTTCATGTCTTTATGTGCCTGTCCCAAGTCAGTAGCCTGTAGTTCAGTGGTTGCCGTTGGTTCATGTCTGTCGACTCATATTTGATTGTTTGTAAACTGTTTTGTTATATATTATTAGGCCGTTAGTTTTTGTTTGAACTGTTTGACTATATTCATGTCGGGGTCTTTTATAGCCGAATATACGGTATAGGTTTTTTCCATTGCTGAAGGCTGTATGGTTGTCTATAACTGCTTACATCCACTTCATTTGAACTCTGATGAATAGTTGCCTCATTGGCAATCATACACCATCTCCATTTCATTACATACCTGACTTTTGAACTCGTATTGTACAGAACATGCATGAAATATGTGTCACTAGACGTTAAAAATAAGCAACTACCAATCAATCAATTTAAACTTGTGTTAAATAAGGAGGGTTTTTGGGGGGGGGGGGGGGGGGGGGAGGGGATGGTTGACATGAGGATTTTTGAATATATGAATACGGTGGGCATAGCGATAGATTGAAATGAATAATAAATCCGCAAAAAATCCACTTGACCTTCCTCCTTCTCTAAAATATTCCCTTACTGTTATTGTCCGTGTAGTTGTCATATTTATCCAGCTTATCGTCCGTACAGGGATGTCATACTAAGGCTGCCATACAATAAAAACGTTTACCACACAGCTCACATTCTATTATATCTGCATTCATAAATTTATTAATGTCATTACCTCTAAACGACGTCATGCTTGTTATGTTCCTCTGCGGTCTAATCTACCAATTTAAAGGGAAGCGGTAGAAGAGAGACAGAAACGGTCAGAAGATCATCCCAATGTAGAAAAAAAAAACAAAAAACTTATACTTAAACCAATAGGTTAAAAAAAACTAAATTCTAAGTGGTATAAGGGGTTTGTGTTGAACACCTGTTGCTTTGAGATTTTTTTTATCATTACTACTATTAATGTTAATATTATTGCGTGAAGACAAATTACTTTTCTATGTCTGCATTGTTTCAAATTGCCACGGTCCGTTGTATAGGAAAACTTTTCCAAAGCGTAGTTGGGGTAAAGAAATATGGCAGTAAAAAAAGTGCCAACGGGGAGTTGTCCGTTTGGCAGTCCCGGGATGTACAAGTTCGCAGCCACGTCCGAAGCCTCGTGTAGAGAGAGTGGCATAACATACACGTTAAGAACCATTGAGCCATTTGAGGGTCCATAGGTGGCCTGTTGCAAGACAAAATTTCTTTAAATAGCCAACATACCCTTAATTTCCCTTTTAGGTTAAAATTTTCCCGACCTTCATCCCGCATGACCTTTATCATCTATTTTAATTTTTGTTTATTTGTTCGTGTTTTGAATTTACATGAAGTATTTGCTACTGGACGTTAAACAACCAACAATTAACCAATCAATCCTTTTTATGAATATAACACTTATCATACTAGTATTTCGAAACTCATACTTTATTTCAGAAGCGATTATTGTAAATGAAAATAATAATTATTATTTTTTTGCGTCCGAAACAACATTTTTTTTTTTATCATATTTCATATGTTTCATAAGGGCTCAGACGTATTAATAGAATGCCTAGGGTAACTGGGAATTATAAATATGGTCACTCTTGATATTTTTCTACCGGCAGTAAAACCTTTGACTGTGCTGGATGTACAAGCTCAGCACTATACGCAGCCACGACCGGTCAGAATGGGGACGTAAAACAAGTCAACATTTCTGTCCCTATTCAATATCTCATTTTCCAGTGTCCAAATTTACCGACCTTCGTCCCGGATGACCTCTTTTACCGGACAAACCTATTGTTTTTATTGTTATTTTAATATAAGAAATATAAGAAAAAATGGACTATGGTTGGGTGCTCGTAAACATGTTTAACCCCGTTACATTCTTTAGGTGCCTGTTTCAAGGAAGGAGCTGTCTATTAACTTGTTGTCGTATGTTGCTGTTTATCACGTTTGTATTTCGATTATTGTTTTGTATATAAATCAGGCCGTTAGTTATCTCGTCTCAGTTTCAATTGTTTTACATTTGTCAGTTTGGAGCCTTATATAGATATAAGAAGATGTGGTATGAGTGCCAATGAGACAAATCTCCATCCAAGTCACAATTTGTAAAAATTAACCATTATAGGTCAAAGTACGGCCTTCAACACGGAGCCTTGTCTCACACCGAACATCAAGCTATAAAGGGCCACAAAAATGTATAGCTTGCTGTACATGTGTAGTATGGAATTTGCTCATTTTTGAAGACCGTACGGCGGCCTATAGTTGCTTACAACTATGTCATTTTGGCTCTTATGGAGATTTATTTCATTGGCAATCATAACACAATTTATTTTTATTCTAACAGAATATGGGTATACTGAAAACCATAAAGGTAGTTTAACTATTGCACGATGAAGGGATGTAAAAATATAAATGAAACAGGTATTCGTGTTTTCAATCAAACAATTATTTCTGATTATTAATAGAAAGTAAAATCAAGATACATTGAAATAGTGAATGGAAAGGAGAAAAGTGTCATAGAGACAACAACCCGACCAAAGAGCAGAAACAGGCCAAGACCATTAATGGGTCTTCAATGCAGCAAGAAAATCCCGCACCCGGAGGCGTGCTTCAGCTGACCACTAACCAATATTGTATACTATTAGTAATTCAGCGAAATGGACGCCACACTAAACTCCGAAACAAACAATTGAACCTTAATTAAAAAAATAAACACACACAAGAAAACTAAATGCTAGAGGTTCCTGACTTGGAGAAGGCGCCAAAATGCAGCGGGGTTAACTATACATCTAGCTAATGTGGAATAATTAGTTTTTGCGAGTATATTATAGGATACAAGTACCTGGTTCTATTGATATTGCTAATTATTGTGCAGTAAAATACAAAAACCTGAAGATAATGAATTGATACCCACTTTTAATAAAACAGAAATTAAACATAAGATATATAATAACAGCAACATAAATGTCAACATAAACGTATCTATAATCCCACAATGCAACATGATATAGTCTAAACGTAATTATCCCAAAATACATTGTTTTATAACCTGATTTTACTATTGTCTATAAATATATATGTGTAAAATATATAGAATATTTTGTTTATAATGAATATGCATTTTATACAAATTATGCCACCAAAACTAAATAACAATGTTCTTCTTTACACAAAAGGTAAAAATAGGTGTTGTATAACGCAAAAGAAATAATTTAAACAATCTTAGATAAGAAGCGACAAAACTAAATATAATTCCCGTGTCAATCTTTTTAGAAATAAAAACAACTAATGTGTTCTTTTAGTGTCCCACATATCCATTTTCAACATATATCTTGTCTTTAATGTAATTGTCTTCTGCGGTTTCTTCTCCACTTTCCTTCTTTTGCTTTCTTCCATTCTATTTGAAAAGAAGTAATCAATATATAATTTCAAGCTAGCATGTATTTTTTTTGTAACATTCAAGAACACTCTGTTTAAATTAATATATGCCATGAATTAATGAAAACGAAAAAGATAAACCCTATATCTTATGTGGATACAAACATAAAAGAGAGAAAATATAGATCATGATAGTTGCAGTTAAATGAAAGTTATGAATAAAGTAAGCGTGAATACATGGCACCAAATAAGATCATGAAAGTTTCATTTAATAGTAATTACCTGATGTTTTGTCTGATTCTTTGCATGGTTCTGTAAATACAATAAATTGAATCAAAGTAACAATACATCTGATATGAAAAAAGAACAGAATATCATAGAAAAAAACCGTATTGTTAAAATGAAATATAAAAAGACCAATTTAAACACGAAACTCACATTCAGTCGTTGCTTATATTTTACACGGTTTTGTATTTTTACTTAATGCTGTTACTCTAGTTATAGAACTTCATTTGGAAATGTAATAATATTCATTATAGAGTTTCCTATTTACTGCATTTATTGTCTGTAGCAAATTATAAGTTTATTTTACAAAACCAGGCAATACAAATTTCTAGGACAATTTTTTAGCATAGTTATTACCTGATCGAAATAATTTGTAATGCTTTAATTTATCAATTAATATGCTGACCATAAGGGATAATATTATAACACTATCAGTTTGTCGACAATTCTCATTTGCATCGGCAATGCTATTGAGTGATCCATTACTAGCGGGGTTTTAACGACCTTGACTCGCACGCTCGCTATAAATTAAACAACACAATACAAAACATGATTTTTAAAATAATTTAATTCTTAGCCTATGTAGGTATTATGCTTTCTTGTCTGTGTGTTCGTCTGTTAGTTCAGACCGTTTCATGATAATATGTTTAATTACGGTAATTTACCAAGAATTTTTTGTCAAATCAAATTAAACCTTGTTTTTTTGTAAGGCAAACTTTTAAAATGTATGCCAAATTAAGATTTTGACCAAAAGATTTCATAGCACACTTAACATGAACCAATGGTAGTGCTAGCGGGGCATGGTTCCCTATGAAAACATATTCTTGTTACATTGTATTGAAAAAAAAACAGTGATAGCGATTGGTTCGAGTTAATTTCCACGATATTTTGGACCCTATTCTGTGATAGCGATTGCTTCGAGTTTATTTCCTCGATATTTTGGACCCTTTTCTGTGATAGCAATTGCTTCGAGTTTATTTTCTCGATATTTTGGAACCTATTCTGTGATAGCGATTGCTTCGAGTTTATTTCCTCGATATTTTGGACCCTATTCTGTGATAGCGATTTCTTCGAGTTTATTTCCTCGATATTTTGGACCCTTTTCTGTGATAGCGATTGCTTCGAGTTTTTTTCCTCGATATTTCTGACCCTATTCTGTGATAGCGATTGCTTCGAGTTTATTTCCTCGATATTTTGGACCCTTTTCTGTGATAGCGATTGCTTCGAGTTTATTTCATAGATATTTTGGACCCTATTCTATCCTTTGATTGATAATTTTTCGACGTATATTTTTTTTTTCTATTTACAAATAGTACTACATACACATTGCCCTCTTTTACACAAAAATGATCTGATGTTGCAGTTACTAGTATATGTATTTGGAAAATTTTCATGTAACAAAAAAAAAAGAAGAAAAAAATGATTAAGTTAAAGGCAATATACATACACAGACGGATGTTGGATGTGTACTGATAGATATTTTAGTCTTAGATAAATGATTTTTTTTATAAGTTGTTATTGGCTTTGAACCAGCTGTTAGTAACTTGCGAGTACTCTCAGATCTGTACTTAGTGTCTTTTTAGTTGTTAGGGATGAGGGATGGATAAATACTCTGCCACGTCAGGTCTGTGTTTTTCTTTGATTGTTTTACTTTGTACCGATCTGATGAGTTAAGCCTTTTTCAACTGATTTTTATAGTTTGTTCTTATGTTGTGCTGTTTCACCACTGTCCTAGGTTATGGGAGGATTGAGCGCTCACAAACATGTTTAACGCCTCCACATTCTTTTTGTGCCTGTCTCAAGTCAGGAGCCTGCAGTTCAGTGATTTTCGTTGGTTCATGTCAGTCATATTTGTTTTTTCGTAAATTGTTTTGTTAAAAATGTTTGGCAGTTAGTTTTCTCAATTGGATTGTTTTATATCTTTTATGTCGGGGCCTTTTATAGCCGACTATACGGTATAGGTTTTTCTCATTGTTGAAGGCCACACAATTGCCTATAATTGCTTACATCAACTTCATTTTAACTTTTGTGGATAGTTGTCTCATTGGCAATCATACATCATTCTTCTTATTTCTAGACAAAAATATCTTTCATTTGATTATTACTTTCAATTTGTGAAATTTGTTTCAAAAATATTTGATTGCAGCAGGAAGGAAGCACATTTTCTGTATGATCTTCGGAGTCTACATCCGAATGTAAAGTTAAAAAATTATTGCGGACAAAGCCCTTAATATAAAGCAAATGATACAGTATACGTTAATTAAACAGAAACAAAACTACAAACTAAATACTTATATAAAATACAAGATATTTCACATAGCCAACCTATGGGATATTCAGCTAATTAGAAATTGATAGCATCTTATCCCTATAAAGGTATTTGTTATTATATTCTCCGAATAATTTACCTGGACAATTCCCCAAGCTACAATTTAGGAAGTCAAATTTAGTGCCAACACAAAGTTGTCCGTCTTTAGAAGGAAATGGGCTGTCACAACTTCTATGTCGAGATATAAAACCATTTCCACAGGTAACGGAACATGGCGTAGTCGACCAGGATCCCCATTCGCCGTCAACTTAAAAAAAAACAAAAACAAAAAACAAATCAATTATTATCAAATTCTTCTGTGTATTAAATTGTACATTTAAGAAAATTGAAAAGGTTCAATATTTACCTTATTTATGATAATTAATATCCTATATTTAAGAGCATTCGATACAGTTTTGTTCCCACGGTGAATTGTTGACGAAAATTACAAGCTATTTTTCAACTGGTCAATTCAAATATTTAATAAAAAATATGCCTTCATATTTTACTAAAAGATAAATGGGGACGCAATTTTAGACATTTACTCAAAATTTCGGATGCACATCTAACTTTTTTGTTTCAAAAGATAAACACAAGCGGATTTTTGTAAAATATTTGGAATATCTTCTTTTCATAAGTATGCTTTAACTTTATGTATTAATTCTTAGGAAATAGTTGAATTTGATTAAATTGTCTTTATTTCATATAAAAAACGGTTTTTATTGATGTATAATAATTCACTTAAAAATATCATTGGTGATTAAATCATAAAAGTTGGTACAAATAATCTTCATACATAATCAAGACAAATGTTATTTTTATAAAAAAAAAAAAAAAAAAAGGAAAAGAAGAGGGGGATCGATGTACTCGTTTTTCATGTTTTCAAGATAATGGTTAAAAGCAGTAAAACAATACATCTTTTCCCGATGTGCGACAGTTTGACGTCGCGAAAAGAACTTTAAAGTTAGCGACGTCATAGCATCCTCTGTAACTGCATAGTATACCCTTAAGGTGGTACCTAACACTACAGGGAGATAACTCTGTAAAAATCAGCTAAACGTTTTAATTACGTTGTATTGTTAAGGAAATATTAAGCTTCTCAATGATCAAAATTAGTGTTTGTCAAACTGCTATATAACCAATGAAATTTTTCTGATAAAGTGGTTGGTTCAAATTTTTTGAAATTTTTATATTTTTGTCAAAGGGTCAAAGTAAACATTTTGTCAAAATTTTATGAAAATTAAACGAGCCAAATTAATATTAGTCAAGGTGTTGGGTACCACCTTAATATAGTTTGTGCCTTTAATTGAACATTAAATAAATGAGGTAATAAATCTACAGTAGTCAGATATAATGACTGACTGATATTCCATTGAGAGCTTTGCCTTGCTCTAATACTTTGACCATACCTAACTTGCGACCACATGACAAAATTTTTGTTCACCATACTAACTATCATAAATAAAAAGAATCCAGCATTTTCGTCCTAGCATGTATGTATGAATATAAGGAACATTGGTATGCGTAAATGAGAAAGCAACCCAGCGACATCAATATCTAACAAATCTTTGGTTGAAACAAGCAGCCGAAATGCGTAATTATTTTTTGTAGATCATTTTGATTTCGAGACTTATATACATCCTTCCGCGACCAAGCATTGAATTTTCTCGTTTTGAATAATAACCGCTTGGTTTTCCGTCGAGTAAATCAACAAAATCATTCCACAACGTGGTCTAATGGATGATAGATACCATTAATGGCTTTAATATATACATGTTACGTATTGTTTTTATTTACTTTTAAACTTCCAAATGTCCTATCTTAACTTTATCATTGACTATTTTGAATCAGTATGATCGTTTCAGGACGAACGACATTAGGGAAACCACAAAAAAAGAATTATGAGAATTGTAGATCAAACCACAGTTTTATAGCTCAATGAAAAAGTTGATTGATACAGGCAACCAGCTAACTAGAGATCTTTTGACTTTGACGTAGGTAAAACACATCCTCTGATGTTATTTTGACAAAATCAGTTTTTTTTTGTCATTTCATATGGTACTACATCGGAGAAGGATTTTCGCATATGATATACTTTCTTGGTCGACTTATGCCGTAAACTGCCTTTGTTAAACAGTCATCATATTTGAAAAATAGAACCATCAATGATACTAGGCTTATTATGAAATAGACAATAACTGTTTAGTGTCTTTAAATATCAGCTGTATTTGTACTCGGCTCGAAACAGGAGTAATAGCTCGCTGAAGTTTCGAGCCGAGTACAAATACAGCTGATATTTAAAGACACTAAACAGTTATTGTCTTTATCCTGCAATTAATTTTGTACATTGTTTGCGTTCGAAAGACAGAAAACACTCACATTTATTGCATTTATTTTCGATTTAAAATAAATTAGTTTTTGTTTAT